GATAGATCTTCCCAAGGCACTAAATACTATTTATATTCCAGTGACTATCACTTTTTCTCTCTCCACCCCATCTGTGCTCTGAACTCTAGAGTCCTACATTCAATTGCTTATCCATCCTCTCCAGTTGGTTATCTCGTTGGCTTTTCAAAATCGATGAGTACAAAATAGAACTCTTGAATCTTGCTCCTCTTCCCAGCTTTTCTTTAAAGCTTCCCCATCTCAATAAATCCAATGTGTTAGTGCTCAGACAAGACAATTCAGTTATCCTGCTTTCTCTTTATCCCAAATCTAGCCCATCAGCAAATTGTATGTGCGGTACATTTGAAATCTATCTACAACCCAACTGCTTCTCATGTTTCCATTGCTTCTAAGCCAGCCTAGTCCACCGGTTTCTTGCCTGGACTGTTGCAGTAGTCTCCTCTCTGGTCGTCCTGCTTATACCCTACAGTCTATTCTCTACACAGCTGCCAAATATTCCTTTTGATGTGCTGGTCAGATCACTTTGTCTCTCTGTTTTAAACCTTCTGTCATCTCACTCAGAATCAAATCCAAAATCTTCTATAGTTTTCTTCCTTCCTTCCTGATATTTGTACCTTTAATTTCTATTCCCTTGCTTAAGAGCAGCAAGGTAATGTGGCGTGGAGTAGTGCAGCAGACCCTTGTATCTTGTTCCCGATCTTGAAAAGAATGCTTTTAACCTTTCACTACTAAGTTTCATGTTTACTGTAGGTTTTTTTTGTAGCTACTTATACCGATTAGCTGTTTGCTTGTTTTTAAGTGCCATGTAAGTAACCCTAGCAAAAGTCAGTGGCATCAAACTGCAATCACTTCTTCTCATAAACCCGCAGATTGGCTGGGGTCAGCATTCTAAATGGATTGTGCTCCATCTGTTTCTCACTTCTCCCAGAACCAGTGGGACAGCTTGGGCATGTTCTTCTCATGGTGACAGAAGCAGGGCAAGAAGATAAACACAGTTTAGCAACTGCTTTTCATGTATTTAGATCACACCATGTCTGTCAACATTCCAGTGGCCAAAGAAAGTCATAGGGCCAAGCCCAACTAGACTGTCTGTAGAGATGGTGGTAGAAAGGGAGAGAAGATTTCTAAGCAGAGATACTTTACATTAATTTTTTAATGTTAAACTGACTTTGCATTTATAGAATAAACACAGTTTGATTTTTCTCCCACTCTCTTTCCTTCTTTTTCTTTTAACATTAGATTTTGGTTGTTCTGGGGCGGGGGGGGGGTATTTTACAATTTTATTTTTTTATCAGCTTTATACTGAGATATAATTCACATACCATATAATCCACCCATTTAAAATGTACAGTTGAATGGTTTCTATTCATAGAGTTGTGCGACTATTACCACATCAGTTAAAGAAAATGTTTGCCATCCCAAGGAGAAACTTGATGTGCTAATTCCCTTACCCCCAGCTCTAAACAATCATTATTTCACTTTCTGACTATAATATATATATATATATATATATATATATATATATATATATATGCCTCTTTTTGGACATTTCATATATAGACTCATACAATATAGATACCTTGTATCTTGTTTCTTTTACTTAAACATGTTTTCAAGGTTCATTCATGTTATAGCAGGAACCAGTATGTGGACCGTGGGGAAGAAGATACCTATTAAGGAAGGTTGGTGGAGGGTAAGAGATCAACCAAAGGACTTGAATGATGGACGTAAGAATAACCAATGGACACAGACAGTAAGGGGGTTGAGGGCCTGTGCTGGGGGCAGGGAGCGGGCTGGGAGAGGTCAATGGGAGAAAGGAGACATATGTAATACTTTCAACAATAAAGAATTAAAAATAACTATATATAATACCTAATTTTTTTTTTAAAGGAAGAGTTGGTGGCTAACAGTGCTCAATTTTTAAAATCCTCAGCTGAGGAGTAAAGATAGTTTTCCATTGAGTTTTAGAGAGTGAAGAGAGGGGGAAGGGGGAGAGAAAGAGGAGAGAGAAACATTGATGTGACAGAGACACATCGATTAGTTGTCTCCTGGATAGGCCCCAATGGGGGGCAGGGGAGGGGAAAAACAGGGGTCAGACCCGCAACCCAGGCACATGCCCTTGACTGGGAATCGAACCAAAGACACTTCAGTGCACAGTCAGTGCTCTAACCACTGAGCAATGCTGGCCAGGGTTAACTGCTCAAATTTTAACGCAGAGCCTAGCAGCCATTTCTAAACAGAGTCTCTCTCCCAAAGTGCACTTCAAACTGCCTCCCACCCGGAAGTAGCTGCCTACACAGCGTTCCTGCCACCGGAGCCAGCCTTCTAGAGATCCTAGGGTCGTATTTCAATCCATAGGACTGAGGCTTACCCCACCCCATTGAAGTTCATCCCCCATCAGCATCTTTACTGACCAATCAGAGTGGCTCCATTATGACTAATCAGGACAGTGCTTTGGACCAAACTTCTGTTGAGGATTTGGAGCCCTCATTTGCAGAAGATGAACCAATCAGGGATCAGGGGTGAGGACTTCTCTCTGTCAGCTCCTCTGTGGCTCACTTTCTTTTTTTCTTTCTTTTTTATTTTTATTTTATATATATATATATATATATATATATATATATATATATATATATGTATTTTTTTTTACAGAGAGGAGGAGAGAGGGATAGAGAGCTAGAAACATCGATGAGAGAGAAACATCGACCAGCTGCCTCTTGCACACCCCCTACCGGGGATGTGCCCGCAACCAATGTACATGCCCTTGACCGGAATCGAACCTGGGACCCTTCAGTCCGCAGGCCGACACTCTACCGCTGAGCCAAACCGGTTTCGGCTCTGTGGCTCACTTTCTCTTGCCACCGAAGACTGAAGACTGTATTTCCCCGTTGGGGCCGAGACCCCAGCGGCATCCTGCCAGAGCAGAGCGGAGCAGAGTCAGAGAGTGGCCGCACCCCAGGGCCGCCCTGCTCCAGGGCCGCCTGTGCTGTTTCCTCGTTGAGCTGTCACACTATTGAAGTTCTTACAGCTGTGCGGTATCACAGTTGAGCCGTTGGCACTGGAAAAAAAGTTTCCTTTTTCACCACACCCCAAACTGGGCATTCCTGTTGGCGTTGAACTGGCACCAACAACCATTGTTTGAAAAATACTTTCTTTTTTTATGGCTGATGTTTCGGTCTGAATATACCATGCTTGTTTATTCATCAGGTGAAGGTCATTTGAGTTGTGTTAGTAATTAGTTTAGGTGCCAGACGAGTGGGTGAGTCCTGTGCCACAGGTACACTGGACACTGCCCAAGTGAAAAAGTTTGAAAATCGCTGCTGTATTTCCTTAACTGTGTGTCAAGTTCCCTACCGCTCCAGCTCCAAACAACACATACCAAGGCTGAGGCTGCCCTGGACAGGACAGTGGGACACGTGACACGTGTTCCTTGGGACCCAGCTCTCTTGTCCAGTTCCTGAGGTCAGTGACCTGTGCTTAGTCAGACCAGGCTGTCACAGTCTGGGGTCAAGGAGAAGAACAGAGGCTCCTGTAGAAGTAGCCTGGCCTGGCTTTGCCTGGGCCCCAGAGCCCAGTTCTTTTTATTTTAATTTTTTAAATTGATTTCAGAGAGGAAGGGAGAGGGTCAGAGAGGTAGAAATATCCATGATGAGAGAGAATCATTGATTGGCTGCCTCTTGCATGCCCTCTACTGGGGATTGAGCCCACAACCCGGGCATGTGCCTTGACCAGGAATTGAACTGGTGACCTCTTGGATCATAGGTCGATGTTCAACCATTTAGCACACCGGCCTGGCTCAGAGCTGAGTTCTAATCTCCACTCCCTCTGAGATCTCTTCTTCCTGGTCTGTACTTCTCTTACAATCTGAATTCTTTTCTTAACATATAATTTGCCCCCTAATCTTAAATCTCAACATTACCCTCACATCTCTTTCCCTCGAGCTCCCACAGTAAAAAACAAAACCCGGTACCCACTGAATGTACTAATCACTCATTGGTTTCCCATATGCATTAGAAGCTTAGACACAGCACCAGCCAATAGGGAAGGGAATTAAATTCTAGGAGCCATGTGCCAAGTTCTTTTTCACACACTATCCGACTTTATCCTGAACAGCACTTGGTAGGTTAGGTTATATTAACCTTCACGTTAGAGTTTAGAGAATCCAGGTTCAGAAGAAGTCAAGTCACCTGCTCAGAGAAGGTAAGGTCAGCTCAAAGGCACAAGCTATTAATACTAGGAGCCCAGGATTGCCTGGCCTTCTGTTCATGCTCTTTCCCCTATCCCCCTCTTGGTGCCTTGAGCCCCCCCCCCCCCAATCTGGCTTCATGGTCTTAATTTTTACAAAACATTTGCATACATTAATTTGAGCCTCACGACAGTGGCAGGGTGACTATAGTATCTGCCTTTTATAAATGATAGTAGGGTTTAGAGAGAGTAAGTGATTTTCCCAAAGCCACGGGAAGCTTAGCTTTTCTGATTCCTACATAGTATAGTACACATTCTGCCACCATGCAGTGTGGCTAGCAGAGTGTGGCAGGCATGTATGATGAATGAATGCTGATCCAGATAATAGTAGGTATTCAATAAATGCCAAGTTATACTAGTGAAAGTTAACGGGGTCACTCTGCCTGGAGGTCTCCGGTTTCCTTTTTCCTCCTGTCCCCTCCCCTCGGTTCTCCTCAGAGACCCTCTTTGCCAGTGAACTCCATCCGTCACCTTCAGTCAAGACTCACAACGAGCAGAATCCACGTCTCCTCAGGCAGGTGCTCAGACGAGGGTTTGAGAAGGAAGGGTCCTCTTTTGAGATAAAGCTGGAGACCTAACAGTTTTCGCTCTCCCGCCTCAGGCCTTCCTTGGGTCCGGAGTGAGGAGGCTGCACTGCCACGCCTCCCTGCCGCGGGTGGCAGGACTGCACTGGCTCTGGGCACCGTGAGCCTCTGCTCTCAGGTTCTGAGGGCTTTGGCCCAGGCTATCACCACACTGGCGCCCCCTCCCCTCTCCCCTCCCTTCGCCCCGCCCCCTGCCCATGGCCCCGCCCCACAGCCCTGGACACAGGGTAAACGGCCTAGATAGAGCCTCTGCTCAAAGGGAACAGAGACTGCCTGTGTTCCCACGGCTATGGCCAGCACCTTCCTGCCCTGGCTGAATTCTCAGAATCCTCATTATATCCCCGGGTAAGACTTCCACCCAGAGCACAGCCCCGCGGGCTTCTGGGAATAGGGGGTTAGGGCTATGGGAATCCTACGTGCACCTGGGCCTCGGCGGCCAAGTGGTCACACCTGGGCAGGAGGCCCGGGCTGGGAGGCGATGGTGGATAGGAAAGGAAGAGCAAGGAACGGGAGCTGGGGCTGCCACAGAGCTGTGTTGTCTTTTCCATGGTAACAGGGAGGCAGCAGAGGGAAATGCCTGCTCCAAATATGCAACCAGCCGAGTCCAGAAAAGAGCAGGGCTTCAGAGCTCTCTGCTTCTGTCTGTGGGGAGGGCGGGCAGGGGAGTTGAGAGACGAGTGGGTGAGTCCTGTGCTGCAGGTACACTGGACACTGCCCACGGCTTCGGTTCGGCATGGGCCAGACCTACGGGCAGATGACGGGTCAGCTACTCCGGGGAGCTCCTGGCATAGCCTGGCCGCCGGCCCATCGCACACTGCTGCCTCCCATTCGGCCTCCGCGGTCTCCCGAGGTTCCCCGTGGGAGCCCGCCTGACAGGTGGGGGCACAAAAGGCTCGGTTCCAGCATGATCCCTGGCTACACAGGTACGTACACAGATACAGACAGGTGCCCCGTCCCTGACTGTGTGTCCCAAACACTAACAGAGCCATTCTTTGCCCCCTGCCCTCCCAGGTTTTATCCCCAAGGCTCAGTTCATCTTCGCCAAGAACTGCACCCGGGTCTGGGCGGAGGCTCTGAACGAGCGGACTCAGAGGCGCGGGGAACGAGGGAGTCCGGACCTGTCCCAGCAGGCCAAGGCGGGAGATGTGGAGGAAGACCGAGAACCAGAGCCAAAGCCGGAGCCAGAGCTGGGGGCGCAGGGGGCAGAGCTGGGGCAGGAGGCAGGACAGGTGAGGCTGAGGAGGCTGCGGGGTGTGTGTGTGTGTGCCTGTGTGTGCAGTGTGTGCCTGTGTGTGTGCCTGTGTGTGCAGTGTGTGCCTGTGTGTGTGCCTGTGTGTGCAGTGTGTGCCTGTGTGTGTGTGCCTGTGTGTGTGTGTGCCTGTGTGTGCAGTGTGTGCCTGTGTGTGTGCATGTGCCTGTGTGTGCAGTGTGGTGGGAGGGGAAAGCTGTCCCTCTGTGTAGCCTGGGGACATGGGCCTGCCGGCCTGCTCCACTCCCTGGGAGCCTGTGCCAGAGCGCGGGGGCCACGTGTGAGAGCGCCGTTTTCTTCTGTCCACTTCCCTCACAGGCTTCCCCCTATTCGATGGACGACGGAGACCCTCACAAGTTCTTCATGTCAGGTGAGGGGACGTGGCCATGCCTGAAGGTGTGGGGAGGCCCCGGGAGGTCCTGAGCCAGCACTCCCGCTCCCCAGGTTTCACGGGCTACGTGCCCCGCGCCCGCTTCCTCTTCGGCTCCGGCTTCCCTGTGCTCAGCAGCCAGGCCCTGCAGGAGTTCGGACGGATGTGCTCAGAGGGCAAATCCCAGAAGGGGCTCGAACCTCTCCCCCAACTTTCAAGGATCTACCCTCAGAACCTGGGTCTCTTACCGAACTATGGGGGCTATGTGCCAGGTGAGGGTGTGTGTGTGTGTGTGTGTGTGTGTGTGAGAGAGAGAGAGAGAGAGAGAGAAGGGGGGGCAGAGAGAGAGAGAGAGGGAGAGAGAGGGAGAGAGGGGGGGGAAGAGAGAGAGAGACAGAGACAGAGAGAGAGAGAGAAAGAGAGAGATGGTGGAGGTGGTTTTGGTGGTTGGGAAGAATAGATATGGGGGACCTCAGGTCGTGTAGTTCAGCTTTATCATCGGGCAGAAAAAAACACATAAAACTGAGGGAGCTCATAGTGAAGAATTAGGCCCAGATTTTGGAGGACAGCTTGGAGGGTCCAGGCAACTGGCTGAGACACACATGACTTCTCCACGCCACTGCCTACATGTGACAGGCTCTCTTGACCACACAGGATACAAGTTCCAGTTTGGCCGCACGTATGGGCATCTCACCCACGATGCCCTGGGTCTCAGCACCTTCCAGAAGCAGCTCGTGGCGTAGGCCCCTGGGCTTCACGTTCTTGCTCCCTGTTCGTGTACCCCAGCCACGCTTTTGGAAGAAAGAGAGGTTGGGCTGGAGGCCAAGCACCTTTTTTATTAATAGGCGTAATAAATAAATAAATAAATACATAAACAGAAGCCTGGGCCGCTCCTCCCTCCTCTGACCGCCAGGCGCTGGCCGCCGTCTAATTTACATCCGGGAGCTTCGGGATCTGGCCCCTGCACCGTCTCCCAGCATCCTCACCGCCTGGCCTGCGGGGCCCTGCGGAGGGGCCTCCTGGTCACCCCCATCCACAGGGGCGTGCGTGTCTGTACCCAGGGAAGGGCTGGCCCAGAGGGGCCGGGGAAACCCGGGCAGCCCGGGGCTGCGCCCCTTCCCTCCTTTCCTGGGTGCTCTGGACATGGTCATGGGACAGCTGGGGGGTGGGGGCGGGGGGATTAATACTGAGCACAGGGATTAATACTGGCCCCAGCTCTCAGTCTGCTCTCTGCAGCCAAGCCGGAGGGCCCGGGAGGGACTCTCAGGCTCCGAGTCCGATGGTTAAGAGGTCCCTGAGGCCACCAGCATGCACAGGACCTCAGTGTTGGCTGTTTCCAGGAGTTGGACTTGGAGTTGGGGTCAAGGTCACGTAGGCCAGAGGCACCAGGCCGGTGTCGGGGCCGCGGCGGCAGCGCAGCCAGTCCCCGCCGGCGGGCCCCAGCACCCGGAGGACATCGCCCTTGTGGAAGCTCAGCTGTCCGGGGCCGGTGGCCAGGTGGTGGCACAGGGCTTTCACCTCGCTGGGGGAACCACAGACGGAGTCAGAGAAACCCCACCCGAACCGAACCCCGTCCCCAGTCCCTCAGCCCCCAGGCTCACCACGGAGGCTTGGCGGGCGGGGCCGCAGCGGGCGGCTCCTGCAGGCTCTCCTTGGGCTCTGCTTCCCGGCGGGCACCCACCGTCTGCGCCACGAGCTGGAACACGGACCTGTCCAGGCTCAGCCAGTCCGAGGGCAGCCTAGGGGTTAGCGGTCAGGGCTTGGACTGAGCCCCGGCTTAGACCGGGCTCCCAGCTCCCCCTGTGGGCGGCCCCTCACCTGTTCGCGGGCCGGGTCTCTCGCTGGGCCTTTCGGGACCCAAAGAGGTGCCCCCACTTGATGCCCCCGGCTGGCGGCCCGGAGGCTCCCTCCTCGCTGTCTGCGGGGGGCGCCGTGGACCCCTCTCTCTCCCGGCTGTGCCTCAGCTCCGCCAGCACGGAGTCAGGGGGGCTCCCCATCCAGAAGGGCCAGCCCTGGTCCCGGCCCAGCGTCTCCTCGGGGGCAGGGCAGGCCTCGGCTCCCTCCACCACTCCCTCTCGGGGGGGCGGCCCCCCACCTCCTGCCCCTTTCTTTTTCTCACTGCCGCCAGCGCCGCTGCAGCTGTTGCTGCCGCCGCGGGGGAACCGGGAACCTTCCGCGGAGCCGTCGATGTAGACCTGGGAGCTCTGCATGAGCTGGTACCACCAGCCGGCCTGCCCGCTCCGGGCCCTGCCGCGCTCCGAGCCCCCAGCCGCCGCCGCGGCCGCCTCTCCCGTCTCCTCCTCCTCCTCCTCCTCCTCCTCCTCCTCTCCCCCTTCTGGGGCGCCCACGCCTTTCACCCGCCTCCCACGGGCCGCGCCGTCCAGGTCCCCGGGGCCCTCCTGGCTCCGGGCGCGGGCCAGCTGCAGCGTGGAGTGGGCGGACAGCAGCAGGTCCTGCGACACGCGCAGCAGCTCCTTGTGCTGCCGCTGCCGCTGCCCGCTCTGCAGCAGCCGGTGCTGGAACAGCAGGTCCAGGCTGAAGGGCAGCAGCGCCAGCGGCTGCAGCAGCAGCAGCAGCTCCTCCAGGAGGCCGGGGCACACGGTGTGCGCCGCGCTCAGGAAGCCCCACGGCTGGTAGTGGGTCTGGATGATGTCTAGGGGGTGGGGGGGGGGGGGAGAGACTGAGCCACACGGGGGGCCTTTGGAAGGCAGCCTGGGCAGAGCCACGGCACCGTGCTGCCCGGGCTGTGGTGTGCTGTTTAGAGTAAGGTGACCAGACGTCCCGATTTTTAACAATTTGTCCCGCGTTCCGCAGCGTTTTTTTTTTGTTTTGTTTTTTTTTAAAGTCCAAAAGATTCTTTCCAAAAATAGGAACTTTTTTAAAACGCCGGGGGACGCGAGACAAATTGTTAAAAATCGGGACTGTCCCGCCAAAAGCGGGACCTCTGGTCACCTTAGCTTGGAGGCACCACCAGGCAGGCGGTTCCCGAGGTGGCGCGGGGCCCTGGCCCCACGGCCGTAAGCGGCGGCCGCGGGGTCAGCCGCCCCGTGTCCCGCTGCCCGCCGGCTCTGGGGCGGGCCTCCGGGAGAAGCTCGGGCTTCCCAGGCCCCCCCTCCACCTCCGGCATCTGCAAAGACAGCCGTGCCTCCCTCTTGGCCTGGGAGACCTGGCCCGGGATGAGTTTGCAGGACAGGGCGGGGCTCTGGGCCTTACCTTCGTGGTTATAGAGGTGATTAAACCAGAACTCCAGGGACCGGATGCTGTGGGGAGACAGGCGAAGAGAGGTGAGTCTCCCGGGGCACGGCCGGATCGTAAGGCGCGGAGGAGACAGACACGGGGCCGGACGCAGGGCAGGCTGCGGCGGATGCCGCCCTTCTAGGCGGGGAGGCCCCGCGGCCCGTTTTACGGCATGTAGCTCTGACAAGCCAGCGGAGGGGTAGGGAGGGGGCGAGCATGCGGTTCCTCCCAGAACGGAGCCACGGTGCACAAGACCCAGGAAGCCGGGGCAGCTCCCGAGCGAGAGTGCAGAGCCGAAGGGGGTGACCTGGGGTCGTGCTTGAGAGAGAAGAACACTGTGACACGGGTCCCCAGGTGGCCTGAGGGTCCAGCAGGATTTGGAAGCGCTGCTGGCACTGGGAGGAGCGGGGTTTACGATATCCAGAGAAACGGAACCAGATTAATTTCCAGAGAAGCCACACCGCACCGTGGGTGCGTAAAAGCAGAAGACCATGCCGATACCGGTTTGGCTCAGTGGAGAGAGCATCAGCCTGCAGACTGAAAGGTCCCAGGTTCGATTCCGGTCAAGGGCATGTACCTTGGTTGTGGGCACATCCCCAGTAGGGGGTGTGCAAGAGGCAGCTGATAGATGTCTCTCTCTCATCGATGTTTCTGACTATCTCTCTCTCCTCCTCTCTGTAATAAATCAATAAAATATATTAAAAAAAAAAAAAAAAAGCAGAAGACCATGGTGGTGTCTGTGTGGGAGGACGGTGGGTGTGGCGGGAAAGCTCGGATCTACTACGAGGCTGTAGCCAGGCGGGGAGGAGTGAGCCTGCGAGGCTGTAGCCAGGCGGGGAGGAGTGAGCCTGTGCTCAGATCCCACAGAGCACACACACACACACACACACACACACCCCGTCTGTCTGTCTGTCTGTCTGTCTGAGGCAGGGAGCTGCCTCCTCAGAGGCGCCGTGGGGACCCGGGGGAGGGCTGGCGGCGGCAGTCTCGCTGCTCCCCCACACTCACTTGAGCAGGCCGAGGATGAAGGCGTCGAAGCGCATGGTGTGGCTGGTGAGCTCGGGGAACTGGCTGACCTTGTTGTAGAGGCCGTGCAGGACCTTGGTGGAGGGGCCTGGGAGGAGGAAGCCGGAGCCGCGGGTCACACCCGCCCAGTCTCTGGGACCCTAACGTCCCCCCGGTGTGTGTGTGTGTGTGTGTGTGTGTGTGTGTGTGTGTGTGTCCGTCGCGCACGCGGCGCCTACCTAGCTGCGTGGAAGCCTCGGCCACGCTCCAGGGCGTGTTCCTGCGCTGCCCGATGATGACGTCCAGCACGAAGGCCTTGAGCCCGTCCTCCAGCACGGCCCGGACCGCGGGGCACAGGTACTTCAGGACCAGGTGGCCCACGTTGGGGCTGACGGAGCTGTTCCCCAGCTTCGCCTGTGGGGGCAGCGGGGAAGCACAGGGGCTCACTGCACGTCCGGCCCTGGTCCTCTCCGGCCTTCCTAGCCCTCAGGGTGCCCCTTTGCCATCCCCGTTCCTAAGAACCAACTCCGGGTCCTCGGTGCAGGAGAGCAGGAGAAGGCGAGGGTCAGTGGGCAGGGCTCAGCTCTCCACGGCTTCTGGCCTACCTTCACCCCAGGATCCCGGCTTGTGCCGAAATGGGCCACGATGAGGTCCACGGCGGTGTTCACAGCCTTCACCAGCCCTGCGAGAGAGAGAGACTGGTGTAACGGCTCCCGGAAAGGCCCCCCCGAGCGGCTCAGCCGGGACTGAACCCTCCTCCATGGGAGGGGGAGGGGCTTCCACACACACTCTCTCTCTGCCCCTGCACACGGGCCTCATCAAGGCACCAGGCCCAGGCCACTTCCTATTTCCCCCAGTTCCCAAGCCCCTCCTGTGTTCACGCCCCAGCTGGGACCCACTTTTTTTTTTTTTTTAAATAAATATATTTTATTGAATTTTTACAGAGAGGAAGGGAGAGAGAGAGAGAGAGTTAGAAACATCGATGAGAGAGAGACATCAACCAGCTGCCTCCTGCACACCCCCTACTAGGGGTGTGCCCACAACCAAGGTACATGCCCTTGACCGGAATCGAATCTGGGATCCTTGAGTCCGCAGGCCGACGCTCTATCCACTGAGCCAAACCGGTTTCGGCTGGGACCCACTTTGATTACATTATTGAGACTCTCAAAGTCCTAACTTCCTTGCCGTCTTACTCCAATCCTGGTCAATCTGTCTGTCTTCTCCACTCTGAGACGCCAGGCTGCTGGCTGCTGATAAAGTGCAGGGCCACTCACACCGGTGACCAGCAAGGGCATGCCAACTCCTCACCTCCCTTCTCAGCCCCGGGTTCTACTCACACAGAGAGCAGCGGCCACTGGTCATGAGTTCCTTCAGCTTTCCTCTCCACCCCAAAGACATAACGTGTTGTTTCTCCTCCCCCTGCTGCCCCCTCACCCTCTTCCATGTTTTGGAGGAAGGTGGCTGCTCCCCTTCTTGCCCAAGCTCTTCCCTCCCCTAGGCTCCAGATCTCCCTCTCTGTCTCTGAAAGGGACTTCAGCTTCCTCTTCCTCCCCTTTAATGGGCTCCTTCCCCTTCAGCCCCTCATTTTTTTTCCCTCTCCATCATCTCGCGAAAAGTGCTCTCTCTTATGATCTCTTATTTGCTAAATAGCTTGATTCCTTGTGGGTCCATATCTTACTAGATGTTACCATCACGTTTACGCTGGCCTGTAGGCCCTGTGGTAACGGAATCCCCCCCATCAGAGCACATGGACGCTTATTTATGATACGCAGGCTCCCTCACCAAGCTCCCGGAGAGAAGAGACTGGAGCCTGAGTCCAAAGCATCTGATCAGTGACCCTTTCTCACGCGTACACACTCAGGGCACATGGTACACAGACTTCTGGCCCCGATGCCTGTGCTAATTCCTTCCTGGCCCCTGGAATTCTAAGGGAGGGAGGGCCAGGCAGCAGGGCAACAGGCACACACAGGTAGTGACAACAGCATTCCTGGCCTGAGCTGGGGTGATCTCCACCTTTTTTCTGAAGCAGGTCAATGGAAATGGCTTCTGAGTTGCCGTCTGGGGACAGACAGAACTCAGCTGGAGGCTTCTCCGTCAAGGAAAAGGGATCTTGGAAGTCAGGGCAGGTCAGTGGTAACGGCTTCCCCATTTGACCTGGAAAGAAAAAAAAAGAAAAAAAAGGAGAAAAATCAGTCCCAAGAACTCTCTTTCCCAGAGCTGCAGCTCAGCTCTGTGCCTTATACCCTCCAAGACTGACCCCTTCTCCAGCCCCTCCCAGCTGCGGGAGGGCCTGCCCCGGTATCCGGGGACCTGCCCACACACCGTGCAGCCGGCAGTTCAGGTGGCCAGCGGCACTGAGGGAGCCGGGGAATTCAAAGATGGGGTTCCTTCGGGCCAGCCGCGCTTCCTGTGGCCTTCGGTCTAGGCTCCCTGACAAGCCGGGTGGCCCTAGCGGGTTCTTCCTCCTGTATTCCCGCCACTTGAGCGCTTGAGGGGACAGGTGGTTGGCTGAAAGCAGAACGGAGTAGCAGAAGAGACAGGAAAGAATTAGCAGGAGACAGTGTTTCATACCCACCCAGTGGGCCCCTGTATACCATGAGGGTTAGGAGTGCATATGCTATCCACAGATGTTGGGGAAGGAGATTATATATATATTTACAGAGAAGAAGGGAGAGGGATCGAGTCAGAAATATCCACGAGAGAGAAACATCCATCAGCTGCCTCCTGCTCAACCCCTTACTGGGGATGTAGCCACAGCCAAGGTACGTGCCCTTGACCGGAATCGAACCTGGGACCCTTGGGTCCGCAGGCAGGCGAACGCTCTATCCACTGAGCCAAACACGTCAGGGCGGGATGCAAGCGTCTGAACCTCAGCTCCCAGGCTGGGCTACGAGAGGCTATTCAGAGAGGGCGGTGGTGTCAGCGTGTGCGGGGGCGGGCCGTGACGCTCGTACCGTTACTGGGCCTGGCGGCCATGCAGCCTTCCCCGCCGCCCCGGGCCAGGCCCTCCGCTCGGCCGAGGCCGGATCTCCAGGAGCCCAGAGGCGGCAGGCTTCCTGCCCCATGGAGCCGGTACTCAGCCAAGCTGGTCAGTATCTTCTGATCCTCCTCCTGGGGCTGCTGGGAGGCGGCGGGCTGCACGGCGGGACGGGAGAGGCTCCACGGCGGAGGCGGCGAGCTCTCCCGGGCTGCGGCCTGCTCGGGGGGCGGGGAGCAGGACACGGAGGCGGACGAGTCTTCGGTGCTGAGCCCGAAGGGGCCGGCGGCGCCCCGGATCGGCGAGTAGCTGCCCAGGGGTGACGGGCGGGAGGTTTCCGGCTCAGGCCCGGCTCTCCGGGCCCCTCTGCTGGCGGAGGCCTGCGGCTCCCCTGGAGGCTTGGAGGCAGGGGCCTGAGCCGCGGGCACGGCCAGGGGGGCGGGCTGCTGGGCACGGCTGCAGCCCGACAGGCTGTAGAGCTGGGAAAGGCTGTGGAAGGCCCGGGCCTTGGCCAGCTGCTTGGGGAAGTGGTGCTGGAAGACGAAGGGCTGGATGGGCAGCGTGGTCGGCCTCTGCTCCTTGCTGTAGCGGAGGACTGGTCGGCTCTCAGCACCACCCCCTGTGGCGACACGGACGGAGAAGGAGTCAGAGGGACAGACACTGAGGCCACGGGAGAGGAGGCACGGAAGCAGGCGGGCGATGCCGCTCCCTGGGGAAGGGGGGAGGGGGAAGGGACGGGTAAGATCGGGTTGTGGGAACCGAGTGGGGTCGGGGTAATCTAAGGTTGTGGACTGTGACACAGCTCCCCACTTCTTTTGTCAAGCTTTTCCTATTGGATATGAAATGGGACTGTCTTGTATTCTTGCCAGTTCATTCACTCTTCATTTTCTTGACTTCAAAGATGGGTATATCTGGAAGCTCAATTCTTATATCTCACTTCACACATTCTCCCCTGTATTATTCAAGTTCGGACACTCAAACTACCGAACCCACCTTCCTATGATCCCTCCACCACTCTGCTTTAGGGTTTTGCTTTCATTTAAAATCGGCTATTTTAAATATATTTTATTGATTTTTTTACAGAGAGGAAGGGAGAGAGATAGAGAGCTAGAAATATCGATGAGAGAGAAACATCGACCAGCTGCCTCCTGCACACCCCCCACCGGGGATGTGCCCGCAACCAATGTACATGCCCTTGACCAGAATCGAACCCGGGACCTTTCAGTCCACAGACCGACGCTCTACCTCTGAGCCAAACCGGTTTCGGCAAATCGGCTATTTTAGATCACGTCATCCATCACCGTTCTCCCGATGACTTCCATCTCTGTCAGAACTACTGTTTCCTTTGTTTCTAAGGCCCAGAGACTTGGAGCCAGAGCCACAGATTTCCAGGGTCAAGATGTTATTTACCTCAAATTTTCACTCAGCACCCCCTATCTCCATCCAACTAGGCACATCTCATTCTTGGGCACATCCGGCCATAATAACACATTTCTTTACTCGCAGCCAGAATCAGCCTCCTGTACTTCTCCTCACCTCGCTCCTACATGATCCAGGCACTGGAGCCTCAGAGTCCATCTCTGCTCCCTCATATGTTCCCAGAGTGGTCCTCTCCTGCCCTGCCAGCCAACCTTCAGGTCCCTGCCCCTCAGAACACGGGGCTCAGAATCAAACCCAAAACTCGCGTCACTCTGTCTCTGTGCATGGGTGGCGCCTCTGATGAAACACTGCGTGCTGCAAACATCTGAACGAACACCAGGTGGCGCTACAGGCAGCCACACGGCCTAACCCCCTGGGTGTGGCTCACTGGCACAGCTCTGTGGCTCAATAACTCCGTGAGGCAGAGATTACATCCCGACTTGACAGATCAGGGTACTGGAAACTCAGCGATGAGGTCATTTGCCCAAGTTCACACAACTGGGAGGTGGCGGAGAGTCTCTTTACCACATCGCACTGCCCATGGGATGGTAAAGGGCTGGGCTTTCCTGTCCCTCCTCCTTCCCCATCAGATTACTTCGGGGAGTCTTCAGGGGGTGGTGGCCACAACCCCAATAGGGAGGCGTTCCAGAGCCACTCCCAGGGACACTTTCTAATGATGCTCTCCTGTCATCCCCGGCCAGTTAGAGAGCAACCGCTGTCCTTCTCCCCTGCTCGTTGTGCTCAGCACACTGCCTCTCGGTCCTGAACGTGCCAAACTTACGAACATCTCCGAGCCGTCTGCACCTGCTCTTCTTTCTGCCTGGGATTTTCTCATCGCTCACGCATCAGCTCACACAGCACCTCCTCACTGAGACCTTCACCACCGCAGCCCCCCTGGACAGTCCCTCTCATTACCCTGGTGCCATTTTCTTCCCAGCATTTTTTTTTTTTTTTTCACCACCAGAAAGGATCTTGTTTATTGTCTTTTACTTCTAGTAAGGGCCCCAGCAAAGCAGGTTTTAAAAAGCTGTTCATTGCTGTCCCCCCAGTGCCTAGAACACAGCCTGGTACACGGTAGGTAATGAATAAAGATACGTTAAATGAGGGGATCCCCGCTGAACCTTCGGTTAAGGCTGGCCTCACTGCATCCAAAATCTTCTTAGCAGCTTGCTTCCTAGAGTACCAATTTCATCTCACCCCCCGTGGCCACAACTGCCCACAGAATAAAGTGGAACCTCCTCAGCCAGGTAGGTGCCCACACTGGCCACAGATTAGGCTTCTTCCGCTCAGACTCCCACACCTGCCACCCTCACCCACACACTCCTCCCACCGAGAGCCTGTCTTTAAGCAGCTGCCTTTCCTGCTGGGAATGTCTCCTTCCTTTCCACTTATTTCATATCAAATTCCAAGGCTGAGCTGACCCTGGCTATCAGATTGGGTCCTCTCAACGCCCCCCTACATTACACCTCCTATGTAAAGAATGTTTTAATTGGACCATCTAATCCTACTCTTTAAGCATCCTCCCTGCTAAGTTCCCAGGATGGAGTGTGAGGCAGAGGAACATGATGAGGGAAGGGCGGGCAGGGGGGGATTATTGTGAGGAGAGGGTCTCAGTTCTGCCCAAAGTGAGTTTTCTCACTTTGCTATGTGACCACCCTTAAGAAAATTGGAGACAGAGACAGACCATGTCCACCCAAGTCTGCTCTTCTAGGGGACACAGCCCCATAGTCTCAATCGCTCCTTAAACCGGAGGGAGGGCCGGGAACTCCCAGGGCAGCACTGACTGGTTCGGAGTCGGGGGCTAGCAGCTTCCCTCTGCATTCTATGGATACACCCAGTCGTCCTAACTTCTGAAAATCCTCCAAAACTGCCGATTCATTCTGAGTTTGCAACCACTGAAATACCCCAGATAACTCAGGTACAGCTCACTCATCAAACTTCCCGCGGGTCCCTGCCTTACCCGTTCTTTCCAGGTTTGGTAAGATCCTTCTGAATCTCGATTTTGCTGCTCAGGATCTCAAAGAGATCTCGGCTTCTTTAGTCATTTATGAATTCATTGAATTGTCACTCATTTTATTATTATTATTATTATTATTATTATTAATTATTTTTACAGAATCAAGAGAAGAGCCCTGTGGTAGGTCACTGGAGACTCATGGAACAGCACACCATCTTGATACAAAAAGTCACCTGATGGAAAACACTTCCAATGCCTCTCCTCCCATCTCTGACCAGGATTACCAGTATTCTCGCCCTCAGAATGCCAGCCACAGGATCCCCTGGGCCTACATACGCCCACCAGACACTGCAGTCTAAGAAGGGAATGGCTAATCCCTCTATTTCTGACCTGCATCTTCCCTCCCCTTCGGTCTCCTCTCCCAAGGGCAGCTCCTTTGTGTATGTTCAGGTGTGAAATCTTTGCTGGACTGTGTCTCCAAATGGTAGCAATAATACTATTTATGGTTTTTTAACCCCTTTCCTTTGATAAGCCAAGACACCCAAGCTAAGGCTGCAGCACAGAAAATCCCCCTTTCCTTCCAGACCCGCAGAGATCTGGCTTCCATCCTCTGGCTTGCTCCTGGAATATTGCTTTTAGGATTATCAGCCTTACTCTTAGTGATTTCTCTTCAGAACTCATTTGGTTGAACCTAACTCTTTTTGAAACTTTCTCCTCCTCTGGTTCTGTGACTTTGCTCTCTCCTGGTTTTCCTTATATTTTCCTGTCTAATTCTTTTTTTTTTTATATAATATATTTTATTGATTTTACACAGAGAGGAAGGGAGAGAGATAGAGAGCTAGAAACATCGATGAGAGAGAAACATTGACCTGGGGATGTGCTTGCAGGCAATGTACATGCCCTTGACTGGAATCGAACCTGGGACCTTTCAGTCCACAGACCGACGCTCTATCCACTGAGCCAAACCGGTTTCGGCTCCTGCCTAATTCTTTTCTGTTTCCTTTGAGGGTTGCTCTGCTCACCCTTCAATCATGGTATCCCCAGATTTAAGCTATCCTTGTTCCCTTTATAGCTTCACACATTCTTCCTGGATGCTCTCGTCCACTCACAGCTTCAACTACCACTTTTATCCCAACAACTCTCCCATCATGGTGATCTCCTGACCTCCAGGGCTCCTTTCCAATCTACCTTTTACCCAATCAACCAGTGAACTTTCTAAGAGGCAAACTGAAACAGGCTAAGCTGTTACAAACAAACAAGCCACTTTGCTGGTTGAAATCCATCACATTCCACTAAGGCTCTCCTCAATTATTTGTAGTTTCTAGAAAGCACCAAGTTATTCTGTGCCTCTGTGGTTCTGTACAGACTATTCTATGACCTAGAACAGTGGTCGGCAAACTCATTAGTCAACAGAGCCAAATATCAACAGAACAACGATTGAAATTGCTTTTGAGAGCCAAATTTTTAAAACTTATTCTTCTAACGCCACTTCTTCAAAATAGACCCACCCAGGCCGTGGTATTTTGTGGGAGAGCCACACTCAAGGGGCCAAAGAGCCGCATGTGGCTCTCGAGCTGCAGTTTGCCAACCACGGACCTAGGATATGCTTACAGATCTGCACAAAGCTAATTCCTGCTTGTCTTTCCAGACTGTGCTTGAATGTAAACTGTGTTAGCAGTCCTTTCTCTAGCATTTCATTCTGATTGGGATGTTCTGTAAACCGCCATCTCTGCATTTTACTTTCCTGTTTCCATCCTTGGTTGGAATTCCTTGAGGACAGAAATTGTCTCTCTCATCTCTATCACCAGCACCCACTTAACAAAGAGTCTTTATAAAATCACTACTTAAATATTACAAGATAAACAGGAAGTAGCCGGACTAGGAGACCTAAAGGCCAAGGGTCAGCCTCAGGCTCTTTGAAGAGCAGCTGCAATGTCCGATCAGAGCATGTGCTTCACGGGCACCCAGTGTGGTCTGCCTGTCGGACACATCCTGGGCTTTTAGACATCACCCTTAAGCACCGCAAAGTCCTCTGTGTCCCAGACTAACTCTCGCCTCATCCCTTTCCCAATAAATCTAATTCTGTTGGCAGCCCCTAATCACATTATCATCTTTCCAGTTATCCAGGCTTAGAATCACAATCTTCTGAGCGCTTCCTTTCCCAATCACCCTCCGAGTTCTGTCGGTTTTATCTCTTCAGTGCATTTTTTATCCTCTAACCTCCTTCTCCCCTGGACTGGAGAGATGCTTGGTCCAGGCTGAGGAGTCGCTAGTGATATGGATGGGGTGGGTGACGGGGCCCTATCACTGAGGCGGCCGCCATGCACTTATCCTGGTAATCTCCAGCCTTTCGTTTCCTTACCGTCAGCTCTAGCTCTGGCATCCCTCTGGGCATGGCTGTTGGCTGGGCTCCCTGGGGGGGCAGAGCCTGGATCCAGCAGCTGCATCATGGAGCCTTGCCCAGAAGCTCTGAGGACGGCAGGTGGCATCTCACTGGCCTGGGGGCCCTGGTAGACCTGGGCGGACCAGGGCTCTGAGCCAACTGAGTCCATGCCCGGCCCCGTGGGCATGGGCGGTAGACTGTGGCTACAGTGAGTCCCCTCGTCCAGCGAGCCCGCCCGGTCTTGCTGGGCTTCCTGAATGGGCGAGAAGTCCTGGGAGGAGTCCCCGACGCTCGCCCGGAGCGGGGGCGACCCAGAGCCCGCGGCTTTCTTCCGGCCTTTGGCGAGCTCCGCGAAGGAGGTGACCCGCTTCGGAGGGGAGCCGGGCCCGGCCAGGGCCGCGGGGCCCTCGCTCAGGCGCACCGGGCAGCTCAGCATGCGCTCCAGCGAGCCCGGGCGGGCGGGCGGGCTGCGCTCCAGGCTGCGGTCGTAGCTCCGGGAGCGCTGGCGCCCGGGGCCCAGGTTTGGGGGGGAAGTGTTGGTGTACACCTGCCCCTCCATCACCGCGGGGCCCGCGGGGGCTTCGGCTTCCATGGGCCTCGCCGGCTCCTCTGGCTGGGCGTCTGGCCTCCGGAACAGATAATACTCGGAGGGCTGGTTCGGGCCGGGGTCCGGGGCAGAGCTGGGCCCGGGGCTTATCTTGGCGTGTTCCTCCGAGCAGCTGGTGATGGAGGAGCCGGCGGGGCTCGGGGACGACTGGGAGGACAGGTCGCAGGTGACGAGCTTGTAGTAATTCTGCGTGGCCACCACCAGGCGGGCCTGGCTCTGGAAGCAGGCCGTGAGGTCGGCCACGGCGGGGCAGGGCTCAGAGTGCGGGCGGTAGGAGTTGCAGTTGGCGTCGAGCTCCGGGGATGAGGCGTGAGGACAGCCGCAGCTCCCCTCCCTGTCCCCGCTGTCAGGGTGGTGGGACTCGTAGGACATCTTAGACTCGGCCGGGGAGGGCTGCAGGTCCAGGTAGAAGGCGCCGGGGTCCGAGTGGCTGCAGAAGGAGGAGTCGCTGCAGGACTGCGGGGCGGAGTTGAGGTTGGCGTGGGGGTGGCCGAGCGCCTTGCTGTAGAGGGTGCTGAAGGTGACCAGCACGCCGTCCGAGCTGCTGCAGGAGGAGTCGCTCACGTAGCCCATGGACTGGTCGGCCGCCTCGGACTGGCTGGACGTGCTGCTGCAGCGGCAGTGCTGGGGCCCGGAGCCCGAGCACCCCGGGTTCCTCGGGGACTCGTCTGAGCTGAGCTTCCACTCCTGCTCAAAGGAGAAGCCGGAGGTGTCGCTGGCTGCCCCTCCGCTGCCGCTGCCGCTGCCGCCGGGCGCCCCGCACTCGTCCAGCTCCATGGTCTCTGCGTCCGGCTCCGGCCCGCAGCCGTGGCCACTGCCGCGCTGCTGGGGACCCAGGGCCGTCACCGGCTCCTGCTCCTGCTCCTGCCCCTCCACCACGCCGGCCCGGCCCTGTGCTGCCCCCCACGGCCTGCCGGGTGTGGGGCCAGGCGGTGGCAGCTGGAAAGAGGACAGACGGAAGGTGGGCTGGCCGGCTCCGTGCAGGTGGAAGGACTGCTGGGTGGCGCCGTCACCGATGCTGTCATCGTACAAGTCGCCAAGTCCCGGCTCAGCCAAGCCCCCCTGCAGCAGGAAGGGGTTGTGCCGTTTAGGGGCCCCGGGGCCTCTTCCATCCCGACCCCTGCCCTTGGCGCTGCTGTCCGCGGGCCGCGCGGGCCCCCCCGGAGCAGCGTGCAGGCTGCTGTACAGCAGGGAGTCCGCTGGTCCCAGGTCTGGTTCCGCCTGGGCGATGCCCAGCTCAGGTGGGCAGAAGGGGTTGGGTCTGGTGCTCCCGCTCCCGCCGCTGGCCCCCCCGCAGCACTGCCTGTCTGGGACTTGGCAGTGTACCAGGGGGATGTGGTGGACGATGAGGGTCTCTCCGGTAAGCTTTGGGGGACTATCCATTCTGGAAAGTTCGAACAAGGGCATCAACAGCGCCGGACACTGCCCCCGGAGCCCGATGGGGCAGAACGCATTTCATCAGGAGAGCCTGGCACCTGGAGAGAGAGGGAGAGAAAGGGAAGCTAGTGTCACTTCCCTGGAAGTCTGAGGCAGGCCCTTCCGCATGTGATTTCCAGCTGGAGAAAAGCCCGACGGGAGAAGAGACTCAGAGTCCAGACGGAGCTTGATCACACGGCCCAGTGGGACAAGGGGTATACCACACCCGCTGCATCACACAGGCCCAGCCCCCGAGTCCCCCTTCGCTTTAATTTGCCACGTGTCCGCTGTGAGCCAGGCCCCCTTTGATGCCACATGCGGAGATCTGGGGATCTCAGAGACAGCATTTTCTTCTTATCAAGGACCCTATTCTTAGCTGTAAACAATGACTAATCCTCAGTGAAAATAAAAAGCATGACTAGTGAAGTAACTATGAAAACGCCACTAGGATGACTGATAGGGTGCTAAGTACTGCAGGGGTTTTCAAACTGCGGCCCGCGGGCCACATGCGGCCCGCAGAGGAGTCTGATCCGGCCCGCCAGGTTTTTTGGGCAGTGAGCGCAGCCGAGGTGTTACAGTAGGAATTAGTAGTTCATATAGTCTGGCCCTCCAGCTCTCTGAGGGACCGTGATCTGGCCCCCACTTTAAAAAGTTTGAGGACCCCTGCATGGCATGGAAGTTTACAGATGGGAGAAAAATCACAAATTCTAAATCATGTCCTAATAGCAATAAGTTAAAATTTTGCAAGTAAAGTATTTTTAGGTATACTCTGTCATTTGACTCCTATGTCATTGTAGACTCCTTTTCTCCTCTTAAAAAAAAAAATATTGAATTTTTACAGAAAGGAAGGAAGGGAGAGGGATAGAGAGCTAGAAACATCGATGACAGAGAAACACCGATCAGTTGCCTCCTGCACACCCCCCACCGGGGATGTGTCCGCAACCAAAGTACATGCCCTTGCCTGGAATCGAACCCGGGACCTTTCAGTCTGCAGGCTGACGCTCTATCCACTGAGCCAAACCGGTTTCGGCCTTTTCTCCTCTTCTAAACCACAGAATACCTGCCGCTCTCTGATGGCTTGGGCTAAGAGCCTCACTCTCTCCCTCTAATACTGTATTGACGCTTCTTGAATGCAGAGGCCAACGTGGGCATTAGAGTGACTGCAAGTATGGCTGATGCCAACTTCTTCCTTCTCAATGGAGGTGGGGTCTATTTTTATCTCCTCTCTATCACTCTAGCACAACATCACATAGGCCTGGTCAAATATAAGAGGCAATAATACACTCTTAATATTTGTCTAGCGCAGGATATAGATCTTCTGAAGTATGCAAATTCTGCTCAGTTTTAGCCTAGAACAGGGTCTTTTAGAAAATCTTCTCTCCCCAGTTTTATCTCTGACAGGTTAAGGTTCTCTCTTGTCCAAGGTTTCCAAGTACACAGAGGCCCCTTGGAGCTTCTCCGGTCTCCTAGCCAGACTAGGCACGTTCTCATGTGCTACCACGTTCAGATCCTAAGTCTTTACTTGCTCTGACTCCTCATTCCTTCATTTCTCTTTCTTCCCTTTATATCCCTGTCATTTTCCTTTCATCCATCATGAGTCTAAATCCCTCATCATTAAGACTCATTTAATTAAACTCTTAATACTACCAATTCTTAAAAATTTAACTCATTTAGCCGAAACCAGTTTGGCTCAGTGGTAGAGCATTGGCCTGTGGACTGAAAGGTCCCGGGTTCGATTCCAGTCAAGGGCATGTACATTGGCTGCAGGCGCATCCCATGGGGGGTGTGCAGGAGGCAGCTGGTCGATGTTTCTCTCTCATCGATGTTTCTAGCTCTCTATCTCTCTCCCTCCCTCTCTGTAAAAAGTCAATAAAAAATATATTTAAAAAAAATTTAACTCATTTAGATCATAGGATCACAGCTCTTCATGTAAAGCACAATAAAGAGCTAGGCAAGTTCATGCTCAAAAACATGAACAGGTAATACCTGAGATTAAAAAATTTAAACGGCTAATAAATACATGTGTGAGGGACACAGTAGTATGATATAACTATGTGTTTTAGGCAAATTACATTAAAATTTAAAAGCAAGTATATGAAGGTGACCAGTACCCAGTGTGTTTCTCACACATTGGTATTCTCTTTCTCTCTCCTTTTCCCTCTCCCTAGGACCAGTAGGGCATATCCTCAGGTGAGAAATAATAATAATTAAAAAAATGACCCTCCCGGCATTGCTCAGTGGTTGAGTGTCGATCTATGAACCAGGAGGTCATGGTTTGATTTCGGTCAGGGCACATATCCAGGTTGCAGGCTGGATCCCCAGTGTGGGGTGTGCAGGAGGCAGATGATCAATGATTCTCTCTCATCATTGATGTTTCTATCTCTCTCTCTGAAATCAATATAAATATATCTTATTTTTAAAAAAATATGTTTTATTGATTTTTAGAGAGAGAGGAAGAAAGAGAAAGAGAGAGATGGAAACATATCATCGGCTGCCTCCTTCACACCCCCTATTGGGGATCGAGCCTGCAAGTTGGGCATATAACCTGACTGGGAATTGAACCAGCAACCTTTTGATTCCTGGGTCGACACTCAGCTGCTGAGCCACACCAGCCAGGCAATACAAATATATTAAAAACACACAAACACACAAACAAACAGATTTGACAGCCTCTTCCATAAATGGTGCTGGAAAATTTGGTCAGATACATGCAAAAATAAAAATTAAAAAAAATGAAACTAGACCACCAACTTACACTGTACACAAAAATAAAGTCAAAATGGATAAAGGACATAAGATGGGAAACCATAAAAATCCTAGAAGAAGCCATAGGCAGCAAAATATCAGACATATATCATAGCAATATCTTTACTGATACAGCTCCTAGGGCAATGGAAACTAAGGAGAAAATAAACAAATGGGACTACATCACAATAAGAATCTTCTGCACAGAGGAAGAAACCATCAACAAAACAACAAGAAAGCCTTCTGCATGGGAGAACATATTTGTCAATGTTATCTCTGATAAGGGTTTAATCTCCAAAATTTATAGGGAACTCATACAATTTAACAAAAAGAAGATAAATAATCCAATAAAAAATGGCAAAAGACCTAAATAGACACTTCTTGAAAGAGGACATACAGAAGGCCAAGAGACATATGAAAACATGCTCAAAGTCAGTAATCATCCGGAAGATGCAAATCGAAACAACGAGGTACATCTCACACCTGTCAGAATGGCTTTCATCAACAAATCAGCAAACGACAGATGCTGGCGAGGATGCGGAGAAAAAGGAGCCCTCTTGCACTGCTGGTGGGAATGCAGACTGGTGCAGCCACTGTGGAAAACAGGATGGCATTTCTTCAAAAATTTAAAAATGGAACTGCCATTTGACTAATAATCACACTTTGAGGAATATAGCCCAAGAAAACAGAAACACCAATCAGAAAAGATATATGCACCCCTGTGTTCATAGCAGCACAGTTTACAATAGCTAAGATTTGGAAACAGCCTAAGTGCTCATCAGCAGATGAGTGGATTAAAAACTGTGGTACATCTACACAATGGAATACTATGCTGCTGTAAAAAAGAAGGAATTCTTATCATTTGCAATAGCATGGATGGAACTGGAGAGCATTATGCTAAGCGAAATAAGCCAGTCAGAGAAAGATAAATATCACATTTCATTCATTCATTTATGGAATATAATGAACAACATAGACTGATGAACAAAAATAGGACCAGAGTCATAGAAGCATTGAACAGACTGTCCAACCTATGAGGGAAGGTGGGGGTGGGGTAGGGGAAGGTGTGTGAGGGGATAAGAGATCAAAGGACTTGTATACATGCATATGAGCATAACCAATGGACACAGATGAGGTGGGAGGGATGTTTTTGGGGGTGGGGGTGGGGGGCCGGGGCCAATGGGGGAAAAAGGAGACTTATGTAATACTTTAAACAATAAAGAATTTAAATTAAAAAAAGATGTATAACCCAATTAAAAAATGGGTAAAGAATTTGAATAGACATTTCTCCAAAGACCTACAAATGGTTAATAAGCACATGAAAAGATGCTCAATATCATTAGTCATTAGAGAAAGAAAAATCACAACACTTCACCCCCACTATGTTAGCTCAGATAACAGACAGTGACGAATGCTGGTGAGGATGTGGAGATGGAACGCAAACACGGCTGCAGCAATGTAAAACGGGTGCCATGCGGCCGCTTTGGCAGTCTTCAAAACGTTAAACATAAAGTTACCATATGATCCAGCCCTCCCGACGCCTAGGTATATACCCAAGAGAAATTAAATCATATATTTACAAAAAAGCTTGTATATGAATATTCGTAGCAACATCATGAATACATACAGTATTGTAAAGTGGGAACTATACTAATGTCCATCAACTAATAATAGATGGACTTAACGTGGTCTATACATGTAACAGAATATTACTTAGCAATAAAAAGAATGAAATACTAATGCATGCTACAACATGAATGAATCTTAAAATGCCAAGTGAAAGAAACCAGTCATCAAAGGATTCTTTGTATGATGCTGTATGAGTCCATTTACATGAAATGTCCACAATAGGCAAATCCACAGAAACAGAATGTAAATGAGTAGCTGCCAGGGACTGCAACCCTGGGGTGGGGAGTGACTACAAATGGGCCTGGAGGTCCTTTTTGGGGTGATTCAAATGCTCTGAGATTAGACAATGGTGATGGTTACACAAGTCTGTGAATAAAATAAAAGTGGAATTTTATGGCAAGCCATAATCTCGCTATTTTATAAAAGGGTGAATTCTATGGCATATGAACTATAACTTAATAAAGCTGTTATTAAAAACATTTTTTAAAATAGAGAAAAGGATTAGGGTTTATGGGAAGATGTAAGGAGAGGTGAGGGAGGAAACCAGTGTTGAGCAGTGGAGGATCCCGGGCATTTGCAGAGAGAAAGGTGAGAATAAGAGAGGAACAGCCGTCTGGAGTGGCTCAGTGGCTGAGCATCGAACCAGGAGGTCACAGTTCAATTTTCTGTCAGGGAGGATGGCAGGTTTCGGGCTGGATCCCCAGTGTGGGGCCTGCAAGAGGCAGCCAATCAGTGGTACTCTTTCATCACTGATGTTTCTCTCTCCCTCTCCTCCCTTCCTCTCCAAGATCAATTAAAAAATATATTAAAAAGCAGATCAACGAAAAAGTTTTAGCATTTATTAAGAGAGAGAGAGAGAGAGAGAGAGAGAGAGAGAGAGAGAGAGAGAGAGAGAGAGAGAGAGAGAGGAACAGCCACGTTAAAGTGTGGGGTTTTGTAGAGAGAGATAAAATGGATTTTTTAAAGTTTTGCTACAAGATCATTTTTCTTTCACTCCTCCCATCTTTTCTACTCCTTTGCTGAGAAAACTTTGGGCTCAAATACATATGCCACAAAGATAACAGAAAGTTGGAAATACCCTAAAATTTCAATAATAGTCAATTTAAAAATGTACAGAACAGGGTATCATTAAAATAATGTTGTATTAATATTATGGACTTGGGAAAATGTGCACAAAATAGTAAGTGAAAACAGCAGATCACAAACAGCTCATACAGTCTAACACCATTTTTGTAAACACCGGGAAATACATCTAACTCCGTCTTAGTTCAGGCCGCTCTCACAGAGGACCTCAGACTGGGTGGCTCATCAAAGGCAGAAGTTTATTTCTCGCGGCATCAAGGTGCCAGCATGGCTGTCGGGGTGAAAGCCCTCTCCTGGTGCAAACTGGCACCTTCTTGCCGTGCCCCCACAGGGCATAAGGAGCAGGGTTCGCTCCGGAGCTTGCTTTTTAAGGGCACTAATCCCATTCGTGACCTAATGACCTCCTACAGGTCATTAGGTCATGACTGACCCTCTTACTCTCATTACCTTTGGGAGTTAGGATTCAGCATACGAATTTTGGGGGACACAGACATTCAGACCACAGTGGTATGCATGGAAGAAAATTCAAAAGCACATACAACAAATGTTAACAATGCTTATCTCTGTTGAGTGATTTTGGATTATTTTGTTTTATTCTCTTGTTTCATCTGTATTTTCTAATTTGTGTATCATAAATACCCATTACGTACATCATTCAAACAGTTTTCTTCCCTTTATACACCGCAGATACCATGGCTCAGGGGTTGGGGAGGGGGTTTCCCCTTAACATAGGGACTAGGTTTCCCTAGGAGCCAGGCCATATCCCAGGCCTGGACTAGCAGGAGGGTAGAAAGCTTTCTTGAACATAGAGCAGTAATTTTGGGTGTACCTATGGGCTACAGCCATCACTTGATCTCTCAATGAATATTTCTCCCCCTTTTAAAGCACCATTTTAAAGAGTCATTCACAAGTATACACACATAAGAATTTATGATTCTGACCCACAAAACTATTACTGGGTCATACATGCATTCAAATGGAAAAACATAGTAACACACAGAGTCTAGAGACAGAAAGCTGATCCTCTCAACCAGGGAAAAGGAACAAATGGCTATGGAAGGTGATGAAGAACCTTTGGCTGGAGGGCTCTGACAGTTGTGTTATAACATTATGTTTATATCATGTTCCCTACACTGTCCTTGAGGTAAAAATCTGTGACGCAGCTGCCTCTGTGTCCCCAAAGCCCACACACGGTGCTTGGAACACAGTAGGTGCTTGGCTATTTGGTGACTTCTATTTTATCCATTTAAACATTGAATTGTCTTTTTTTTTTTTTTAATTGAAGTTAGGAGTTTTAAAAAAATTTATTCTGGATATAAGTCTTTTTCAGGTATACAGGTTATCCCCCCAAAATGTATACACACTTTAAGAGCTGATAGCTTAATTTTGAAAATTAAATGTTTTTTAACAAACACTGCCTTTATAATTATTCAGAGTGTGTGCATACATTTTTGGGGGACATCCATGGTGTGTTGAGAATATCTTCTTTCAGCCTGTGGCTTTGCCCTTTTGTTTTCTTAATGGTTTTGTTTATTTTTTTTAATAATAGAAACTTTTAATTTTATGAAGTTTCATTGATCTTTTTTCTTTTTCTTTTAGGGTTAAAGCTTTCTATGTCTCATCTAAGAAATCTTTGCCGATCCTAAGACCATAAATAAAATTTCCTGGTTTTCCCCTCTAAAAGCTGTATAGTTTTAGCTTTTCGTTTAGGTTGTACTAAATCCTATTTTAAGTATAAAACTCTCTCACTGGTTGGTTATATTTTATTTTATATTTTTGCATCTCAGGGGTCTTACTCCTTCCTGATTTCCACACAACCAAGGGAAATACCTGCCAATCATTCCTCCACAGAGAACTCCAGGTCAGCCAACCAAGGTGAAGTTCTGTAGGCATCTATCTCGTGAGATTTTAGGGCTTCTCCTACCCTCAAACTTACACATGCACACTTTTATGTACGTCATCTCACTGATCCTCACAACTCACCAAAGTCGTCAGGACCACTTTCATTTTAGAAAATAAGGAAATCGACAGCCAGAAAAGGAAAATGACTTGCCCAAGAGCATTGTGAATAAGTGACACAATTAAGATGGGACTCGGGAACCCTAACCTTTGACTTTTTTTTTTCTTCTTCTTCTTCTTCTTGCTCAGCTAAGAATGTAATGAGGATATTTTGTACAGGTGACGTATTTCAAATACCACAGAGCACATTTAGCAAGAACACATCTCTGACTTCTTTCCGGGGAGTGACTGGTTTGTTCCATAACAAGACAAGTTTAATGTGGCCCATGAGCCACATTAGATGAAGGCGAAGAGAAAACAGAAGGTGGAAGAGCTCTTTTCATAAGAGCTTCGTACATAATTTGCATTTACCTACTTTTCTTTTTCTAATCCAACTGTCCCTTTCAAGTCACTGCCCCAGGCTCTGATAACACTCCTCAGTCCTACCACTGGCCCTAGTTCCCAGCCCTCGTGTCGCTGCCCCGTTCACTCACAGTTCCCCAAACCCTTTCCCCTCCTCTGAGGTTCATATTCCTCAGCGCTCCCTGGGAACTAACACCTTCCTACAAATTCCCAGGATACTCCTCAATCATCTATTTGCATAATTAGGTTATTTTATGCATTATCCTTATCTGAGGGTATTTTTCCCACTGATTTCTAGAAAGAATGGGAGGGGGAGAGAGAGAGAGAAACATTGATGTGAGAGAGACACATCGATTGGCTGTCTCCCGCACGTGCCCCTATTGGGACTGGAGAACCTGCAATCGAGGTACATGCCCTTGACAGGGACTCAAATCCCAGACCCTTCCGTCTTGCAGGCTGACACTCTTAACGACTTAGCAACTGGCCAGGGCTTACCATATGTTTTTGAATCTCCCACTAAGGTGGTCAAAGGAAATGAGAACTGAAGGAACTCTTTCTATCTGCTCAGTAATAGGATAACTCTGGGCAGGAGAATGTTCCTAAACTTCAGAGACAGGTTTCCCTGACTTGGATCATCAGCATTTTCCGTCACAGGACCCCTCCCCTCTCTTTTTGGCCTCCTAAGGGAGGACGGGGAAGACAGCGGCTGCTCTGCAGCAGCAGCCTGACCTTGACTTGAGGCCCCAGGAGGAGCCGCAGCAGGACTGACAGCCTTTTCCCTGCCAGGGTCCTCTCCCGGGCAGGGATGGAGGGAAGAGAGCGGGAGGTGAATTCAGGAATGTCAGCTCATGCTCAGGTCTCTTCCTGTTAGAAATCTAAGTCTGCATAAGAAGATTAATTATAACAGGCCGGGTACCCTAGGCAATACACCGACTGCCTTCCCCTCCTCCCTCCACACTGAGGAGCCTCTTGGTCAACATTCCTTTTCACTCCATCCATCCTCCCCCGAGCCTGCGGTTCCCACAGTGCCAGCCGGTACAGTGTGTGTGTGTGTGTGTGTGCAGGCATGCTTGCGTGGAAAGAAAGGGTGGGCTGCATGCCTCCCAGCCCTTCCTCTGGAAAGCTGCACGGCTCCTCGCTTATTCTCCATCATAAACTTACAGCGTTCCTCGTGCTGTCTCCTCCCTGCAGCCTTTGTTTCCTAGATCTGACCCCTCCACGGGGAGGGGGGGGGAGCACCAGCCCGGCCTCTGCTTCTCCCCATCTCTGCACCACAGCCCAGATCTACGCAGGGGTGAGCCTGTCTAATGCCTGCTTCTCGTGCTCCACCTCACTCTCTTTTTAGGAAGGACAAAGCCAATCCTAGAAACGAGGGTCCAAATGTGCTGCTGATCCGTTATCCTTGGGTCGCGCCCCGCCCCTCCCCCAGCCCCGCCAGCCCTACCTCTGTCCGGAGCCCCGCGCCGAGCCCGGAGCCGTTCCTTCCGCTCCGACCGACCCGAGCGCCCCAGCGCTGCCTGGACCGCTCCAGCCGCGGGGCCACGCAGCGGGGCCGGGCTGGCTTCCTACGGTCTGATTTCTGTTAACACAATGGCATCGCTGCCAATGCAAGGAGGCTGCGCAGTCCCAGCCCCAGCATCCCTGCAGCCCGGCTGGTGCTGCGGTGACGTTGCTGGAAGGGAAGGGGGAAGGGAGCGCAGCGGGCGCCCGCAGCGCCGCTCGGCCCCCTCCCTGCCGGTCCCCGGGGCCCGGGCCCGGGGCGGGGTGGGTGGGGAGAGGAGGCAGCCACCCAGCGAGATGGGAGCTCGCCGGCAGCGGAGGAAATCAGGGGACAGCCCTGGGCCCAGCTCCCCTCCTGTCCTTAGGAGGCTCAGGAAAAAGCCTGGGCAGGGGCTGAGCGTTTCCTTCCTTCCTTCCTTCCTTCGGCCGCTCCTTTTCGATTTTAGCCAGAAGCCTCCCTCTGCCTCCTCTTTTTGTCCCCCCTGAGGGACTTCTGGTTCCCCAGCCTTTTCCTTTGGCTGGGATTCCACACCAGCCTCAGGGCGGGGCCGCGGCCAGCAGGGCGGGCGGGGTTCCTGGAGCCCGGAGGGAGGGAGGGAGGCCGGGGGGACTGCAGTCACACCAAGTTCGGCCCAAGTTCGGCCTCTCCGGAGGGGAAGCCCGCCCAGGCTTGGCCTCTCAGCAGTGGGGTCTGTCAGAGAGAGGACCGGGCCATAAGCATCCGCCACTGGCAGGGCGGCGGTGAGCCTGAGGACAAGGTGGCTGCAGGCTCCTTCTTGCCGCTGTCTGCCAAGGTGAATGGAGAAGAACCGTCCTCTCTCACCTGGTCAGTTCCTGGTCAGCGCTGAGGAGGGTCAGTGGGGAGGCAGCATCCCTCCAGGCCAACAGGGAGGGGAGCCCATTTTCTTCCTTTTTTTTTTTTTTTTAAATATATATTTTATTGATTTTTTACAGAGAGGAAGGGAGAGGAATAGAGAGTTAGAAACATCGATGAGAATCATCAATCAACTGCCTCCTGCACACCCCCTACTGCAACCATGGTACATGCTCTTGATTGCAATCGAACCTGGGACCTTTTAGTCCACAGGCCAACGCTCTATCCACTAAGCCAAACCGGTTTCGGCCTATTTTCTTTATTTTCTTTTACTGATTTTTCACAGAGAGGAAGAGAGGGGATAGAGAGTTAGAAACACCAATAGAGAGAAACATCGATCAGCTGCCTCTTGCACACCCCGTACTGGGGATGTGCCCACAACCAAGGTACATGCCCTTGACTGGAATCCTTGCACTATCCACTGAGCGAAACCGGTGTCGGCTATTTTCTAGGGAAGGAAGTGCTCTCCTCTAGGTCAGAAAAACAGATCTCTTTTCCCTTAGACCTACAGAGCCCTGTACTCCTTCCCTGCTCCTCCCTCCTCAGGTTCGGGGCCAGGTCTGTGGGAGTCAGTAAGCAGGAGAGAAGCCACAGCCGGAGCCAGTTACACAGTCAGCAGCAGCACGTCTGTCCGCGCCACGCCACTGCCCCCTGCTGCCGCCCTGGACACAGAGGTGCCTCCAGCCGGGCGTGGCCCCTGAGCACCCGCCTGCCTGCGAACGGCTCCTCCCAGGGTTGACTGCTCTCTGGGCTCCACAGCCATGGCCTTGGATTTCAGGTCGCTGGAAAGACGCCCTGGGCCCACTGGCCAGGAACACAGCAGCCCCCACAGGACCCAGGAGAGAGCTCCTTTCCCCCGACTGCCTCCTCTGAGCCCTGTGAGCCTCCCGGGTCACCGGTGGTGGGATGAGCTGAGCGGAGCCGTACAGAGAGGAACAGAAGGGGCCAAAATGCCAAAACCTATCTCCAACCGGGACTTGTCTGAGGGGCCATGGACCCTGGATCCTACAAAGCCGGAAACAACAAGGAAGGGGAGGAGAGAGCGAGGCTGCTGTTCATAAAACGAACCTTTAGTGATCCGTGCAGGGAAAGTAAAAGGCGTGGAAATGGTGTAACTGCACTTCCCTCTCCCGGAGCCGATTCTCACCTCAGGAGGGTTTGAATGAGCTGCTGCAGATTAGGTCAAAGTCAATTCCCATGACCAAGCGCTTGGAGCTCTAACTTCTTATAGTAAGAGCTCCGGGCCCAGGGTCTTTGTCCCAGAAATTTCTGCGAGGCTAAGCCATGCGTTGCCCTGGACAGCCACGACGTAGGTGGCAGCTCTCATATTCGCTGGACTTGGCTCATTCGTTACGTCTCAGGCCACACGGACACTACTTTCCGCCTACTATTGCCTTAGATCTAGAGGGCTTCCGATGAAAGATCATTTAAAAAAACAAACCAACCTTACATCAGCCTGGCTGGTGTGGCTCAGTGGTTGAGCACTGAACCAGGAACCAAGAGGCCAAGGGGTTCCTTTTCCAGTGAAGGCACATGGGTTGTGGGCTCAATCCCCCAGTAGGTGGTATTCAGGAGGCAGCCGATGTTTCTCTCATCTATGTTTCTATCTCTCTATCTCCCTCCCTTCCCTCTTTAAAATAAATAAAAGACGTATTTACAAAAACACACACATTACCTCAGCTGTCACCAGAAACTAACATCAGTCCACGAAAGGTTGAAGGATTAAGGAAATCATTTCTCACCTGACATGGCTATCTTTCTTTTCTTTTCTTTCTTTCTTTTCTTTTTTTTTTTTTTTTTTTTTTTGTATTCTGCCTTAATGTCTCTTCTAGTCTGCACATTCCAAGTTATATTCGTCTTTGTATCCCCAATATTCAGTGAGTAGGACAGTGTAATTTTTATTTTGTGTTCCTTATAAAGCCTAGCACCGTGCTTGGTATATAGAAGGTGGTTAGTCATAGTCTTGTTCAAGAAGAATAGTCCAGAAAGAGATGTGCCTTGAGTGTAAGTGAATGTGTGGTGAGTAGTTTTGACTCAAAAGGCTTGGAAGAGAAGACCCCTGGCTGTTTATGTAAAAAAAAAAAAAAAAAAAAAAAAAAGAGTCAATTTTCAAAAGGTGTCATTAAATATTGGGGGATCGATTCACAAATTATATAAATGTTGAAGCACTATGTTGTACATTTAAAACTAAAATAAAGCTAAAACCGGTTTGGCTCAGTTGATAGAGAGTTGGCCTGTGGACTGAAGGGTCCCGGGTTCGATTCTGGTCAATGTACCTTGGTTGCAGGCACATCCCGAATGGGGAGGGGGGTGCAGGAGGCAGCTAATTGATGTTTCTAACTCACTATCTCTCTTCCTTCCTCTCTGCAAAAAATCAATAAAATATATATTTTTTAAAAAACTAAAATAAAAACATATTGGATGTCAAAAACAAAAAAGAAAGCTTAGGAAAAAAAAGAATAACTCTTCATGACCTTGAGTTAGGCAACACATTCTTAGATAATAAAAAATAGTAAGGTTAACTTCTAAAATATTTAAAACATTTCTGCATCAAAGGACACAATCAAGATAGTGAAAACACAACCCACAGAGAAAATATTTGCAAGTTACATATCTGATAAGGAAATTCTATCCAGAATATGTTAAAAATTCAACAACTCAATAATAAAAAGAACACAACCCAATTAAAATATGGGCAAAGGATCTGAATAGGCATTTCTCCAAAGAAAACATACAAATGGTCAGTAACACATTAAAAAAAATCTCAATATCATTAGTTATTAGGGAAGTGCAAATCAAAATTAAAATGAGATACTGCTTTACCATACTAGACTGACTAAAATAAAAAAGACAGACAAAAACAAGTGTTGATGATGCAGAGAAATTGGAGCCCTCATATATTGCTGGAAGGATTTTAAAATCATGTGATCACTTTTATCTTAGCCGTCATTGGCTTTGTCAACCCAGGAACCTCAGACAATTCCCCCTTTCTTTTATCTTCAACACAAAGATTCTTTTAAAAGTGAACTATGCTAACTCTTTTTTCCCCCTAATCATTTCGTAAGCACCAGAAGTCTGCTTTCTTGTAATACTTGAACTGTCTGAAGCAGTATAATTTTTGAACTTACAATATCTAAAAGGTCTGATACTTTGGGTAGGGAACACATAATACAATATACAGATATGTATTGTAGACTTGTATATCTGAAACCTATTTCATCTTATTAACCAAATCTCACCCCAATAAATTTAATAAAAAATAAAAAATAGCACGTCCTATATAATGCCAATCGACTGAATGGCCAACCAACCAGTCACCGTGACATGCACAGACCACCAGGGGGCAGACGCTCAGTGCGCTCCCACAGGGGGAGTGCTGCTCAGCCAGCGGCCGGGCTCACAGCTGGGAGCGCAGCAGCGAGGGCAGGAGCCTCCCTGCTTCTGCGGCAGTGCCAAGGACCCTGGGGGGACGTCTGACTGCTGCTTCGACCTGCAGGGAGTGGGCCTAAGCCAGCAGGCAGAATCCCCCAACGGGTCCCTGACTGCAAGCGAGCACAGGCGGGGCTGAGGGACCCCATTCCAGTGCACGAATGTCATGCACCAGTCCTCTAGTTATTGTATAAAAAGCAGTGACCAAATATAGTACAAATTAATCCTTTTATTCATTAATTACAAAGACCTGTCGAAGTTGCTTCTTCTCTGAGCCTGTTTGTTTACCAATAAAATATAAATAATCATAAATAATAAAATAAAATGTCTGATACTATTTACTTCACATTACTATAATAATGTTCACTGCAGTATTACTTACAACAGCAAAAAACAAAAAACAAACAAACAAAAAAATAACCCTGAAAATATTCTAAGTACCCAAAAGAAAAATGGATTATTAAATAGTGGTCTAGCAACGCAATGGAATAGAGTGGAACAATAGAAATTATATATATATATATATATTTTTTTATATATATATTTTATTGATTTTGTACAGAGAGGAAGGGAGAGAGATAGAGAGCTAGAAACATCGATGAGAGAGAGTCATCGATCAGCTGCCTCTTTGCACACCCCCTACTGGGGATAAATGTTTACTGGTATAGAAAAAGGCTTAAAAGAGAATTAACAAGTAGGATATCAAATTATATAGACCTTTGCTACTTCATTACAGTGAACAAGATATTAAGGGACTCCCTTGTGCAAAAAACCCCACTAAATTCTGAATAACATACTTCAAAAAGCATTCTAGGACTCGGAGTAAAGAGGAGGAATTTCTGAGTTTGCTTCTCCAGCAGGGGGAAGAAGTCATGATGCAGGGGTGAATAAGCAAGGGGAGGCCCAGAGTCCCTCGAGGGCCAGTTTCCCAAGCATTCCGACAGTGTGGTCAGAATGACAAGCTTTGGACCACTCGCAAGGCGAGGCAGCTAAATCGGAGACTCCCACAGTAAGCTGAGACCCTCAAAATAAGCTCAAGTGAGCCAGGATTGGTGGTTCCCTACAATTTCTGGCAGAAGCGGAAATAAATCTCTGGAGGAAAATATCCTAACTATGTTGATGGGAGTCTCAAAGTTAAAGAGCAAGCAAAAATTAGTTTATATCAAAGATCATGA